TGCACACTGAAGGTGCTGTGGCCAGCCTGCAAACAGCCATCAGCCCCTCACCCAGGCTGGCCTGGCACCCCAGTGGGAACTGCATACTGAAGGTGCTGTGGCCAGCCTGCAAACAGCCATCAGCCCCTCACCCAGGCTGGCCAGGCACTCCTATATAATAAAAGGGTAATATGCAAATTGACCCTAACAGCAGAATGACTGGGAATGACTGGTCACTATGACACACACTGACCACCAGGGGGCAGATGCTCAATACAGGAGCTGCCCCCTGGTGGTCAGTGTGCTCCCACAGAGGGAGCTCTGCTCAGCCACAAGCCAGGCTGACGGCTGCCATTACAGCGGTGATGGTGGGAGCCTCTCCTGCCTCCTCCGCAGTGCTAAGGAGGTCCAACTGCAGCTTAGGCCTGCTCTCCGCTGGCAAGTGGACATCCCCCGAGGCCTCCCAGGCTGCCAGAGGGATGTCTGATGGCCAGCTTAGGCCCAATCCCCCGGGAAGCGGGCCTAAGCCTGCACATGGTCATTTCCCGAGGGGTCCCAAACTGCAAGAGGGCACAGGCTGCAGTGAGGGATTTTTGTGCACTGGGCGTCTAGTGGTTTTATAAAACCTCATTTTCCTGCAAAATTAGCATGTTTAAGGAGAACAAATGTCCAGAATTGGCTATAAAGTCCTCAAAGAAAATGACTTTCTCAAAGTGTGTTTATAATAAGCATTTTAATATTAAAGAAAACTAACAAAATGATTTCGTATGTTTTATGGTCTTCAGTGGTTCGGTGGAATGGAAATATTTTCAGACAATGTGTTTGTTGATAAACTAATCTCTTACTGAAAGGCATTCCAGTTGTCAAGATACAAAGGGTCTTAAAATTAGCCAAAGAAAACATAAAAACTAACAAAATTATTTCGTATGCTTTATGGTCTTCAGTGGTTTGGTGGAATGGAAATATTTTCAATATGTTTGTTGACAAACTAATCTCTTACTGAAAGGCATTCCAGTTGTCAAGATACAAAGGGTCTTAAAATTAGCCAAAGAAACATTTCACTGTTTCATTTCTCAGTTCTTAAAAGTGTTTATTTTCTGGACGAGGTAGTCAGTCATTCATCAAATCATTTAATACATATATATTGATTGAGCACCTACTATGTGTCAGGCACTGACCTTGTTCTGAAGATAAAGGGATGAACAAGGCAGACAAAACACCTTCCCTCATGAAATGTCCAGTCTAGTGGCAGAGGAAGACAATAAACATATTTGAAAAATAATTTCATTTATCAATGAATAAAATAAAGTGTTGTAAGGAGAATGTGTAGACTTTTACATATAGAGAGGTAGATGAACCTATTTTTAATAATAGTAGGTATCTATTTGGTATGATAAGATTATACCGATATGATTAAAGAAATAATTTGAGTTTAAAAACTCAAATGGTAGAAGACACCAAATTGAGCCAATTAATTGAACTTATTTAATTGTATATTGACATTCATCTGGACACCTCTGTAAAGAGCTGGCTTCGGATTCATCTTAAATCTCAGAATTTAATAATTAATATTTTGGTGTGTGTGTGTTTTACCTGTGACCTACTTAATACTACTTACATGTTTAAATTTTTGGTCATTATTTTTCTCCATGTCACATTAAATATCATTTTTTAAAATATATTTTTATTGATTTCAGAGAGGAAGGGAGAGGATGAGAGAGAGAGAGACATCAATGATGAGAGGGAATCATCGATCGGCTGCCTCCTGCATGTTGGACCGATTGCCCTTGACTGGAATCAAATCTGGGACCCTTTGGTCCGCAGGTCAACACTCTATCCACTGAGCCAAACTGGCCAGGGCTAAATATAAAGTTTTATTGTTCATTTTAGGAAGCTATGCTAGAGTCTTTTCATTGAATCCAAATCAGGGTCTTTAAGAACTCAAATACTTGTTGAACTAGTAAATGAAAATTGAAATGATCTGACAATATAATTAGTTCATAATTTTAAAAAATATTTCAGAATAAAGATGAGTTTAATTTTTATGGAATGTATGCATAAAGGAAAACTTAACTTTGTATAAATTCTGTACATTTTTTGAGTATTTACTATATGTTAGGAATTAACAAATATGAAAATATGAATAGGGCACAATTTTGTCCTCATGGAACCCATAATTTAATGGGTGAGATAGATAATTACAGCAGAATAAATGCAGTAATAGAGGTATATAAAAAATGCACGATGGGCTATGGCTGGGTAGCTCAGTTGGTTAAGAATGTTATCCCAATACGTCAAGGTTGTGGGTTCAATCCCCTGTCAGGGTACATACAAGAATCAATCAATGAATGCATAAATATGTGGAACAACAAAACATGATCTCTCACTCTTTAAAACCAATAAATATTTTTTTTAAAAAAATCAATGAATGACTGCATAAATAAGTTGAACAACAAATTGATCTCTTTCTCTCTTTCTCTCTGTCTCTCTCTCTTTCAAATCAACAAATAAAAAAATTTAAAATTTAGAGGTAGTCACTGAAATTAACATGGATCTGGGGTAAGTTTTCATAGAGAAGGTAACTTTGGGGCTAGAGTATGTGTTTGAGGAGGAAAAATAATGGATGCATGGAAAATAGCATGTACAAAGCCCAACGATTGTTGAGTACACACACCTTTATGACTTTTACATACAACTCGTGCAGCTCTTGGGAGATGAAACTTGAAATGTAAGTTGACTTACATTCTAACAGTAGATGGACTGTTAGAATGATTGGCTGTTACATACCAAACAATGTAGACCATTTGAGGATCTTTAGCTATTCATTGATACCATCAAATCTTTACTTTAGAGAGATCATTCTAGTGTAGATGATGGATTTCAGGAATGAAGGGAAAATCTGGAGGTTAGGTAACCAGGAAATTATTTTAATGGTGACACATCACTAAGGTTGGAAACAATTAGATATATGTGTGAATTCAGTGGTAGAATCAATAATTTTGCTTGATGAGTTGGTTATGGAACATGGGCAAGAGGGACTTATTATGGGTGTGATTAGCCTGGACAAATAAAAGTACAGGAAGAGTCATTTCTTCTCTTAGTCTCAAATTTGAAGTTATATTAAGAACATGCTGATAATATGTCACAGTTATTGGAAAAACCATAACCTATTCAGACTACTTTATTGTGTAGCCTTCATTTTCACTTTTAAAGTAAGTCGAATTAATGAAAGTAAGTCATTTATGAGGCAGGAAAGTTGAGTTCTGTTAAAAAAAAAAACTCCTTTACAAAGTAAATTCTTACTTCTGGCTAGCATCACGATTTGTGAAGAAGAATCATAAAAAAGAATAGCTTTAATTCAAGTGAGATCAAGACTATTTAAGTAGATACATAAACTGGCAAATTTAAAGAATACTAAAATTAGGCAATAAGAAGAATAAAAAGTACTCCATCTGAAGGCATTCTAATCTCAAGTAATTAAGGGATTAAACCAATTTTAAATGATTATAAAATTATGTTTTATTAAAAACTAGAGGCCCAGTGCACGGATTCATGCACCAATGGGGTCCCTCAGCCTTGCCTGCAGCCTCTTGTAATCCAGGACCCCTTGGAGGATGTCAGACTGCCAGTTTCGGCCCAATCCCCACAGGCCTGGCTGAGGGGCCGAAACTGGCAGTCCGACATCCCCCAACGGATGTAGTAATGCACAAAGCAACAGGTGACCGGAGAGAAGCCTAAGCCCAGGCCAGGCGCCATGCAGCTCCAGCTCATCTCGGCCCCGCTGTGCTTGCTGCTGCCACCATGTGGTAGCGCTGCCATGGAGGCGGGAGAGGCTCATGCCACCTCAGCTGCACTCGCCAGCCATGGGCACGGCATCTGGCACCCATCAGTCAGCTGAGCAGCGCTCCCACTGTGGGAGTGCACTGACCACCAGGAGGCAGTTCCTATGTTGAGCATCTGCCCTCTGGTGGTCAGTGTGCATCATAGCGACCGGTTGACTGGTCGTTTGGCCACTTAGGCTTTTATATATAGATAGATAATTAAATTAAAATATTGATTTTAAGTATGTTGGGATTTTATTCATAACTAAAGGCCTGGTGCATGACATTTGTGCACTGAGGGGGGGGCCTCTCCAGTCCGGGACCCCAAGGGGTCCTTAATGCTGCCACAGAGTCGGGAGAGGCTCCCGCCACTGCTGCTGTCCTCGCCAGCCGTGAGTCCAGCTTCTGGCTGAGCGGTGTCCCCCTGTGGGAGCACACTGACCAATAGGGGCAGCTCCTGTGTTGAGCTTCTGCCCCCTGCTGGTCAGTGCTCATCATAGCGACTGGCCATTCTGCCGTTTGGTCGATTTGCATATTAGCCTTTTATTATATAGTACTAGAGTCCTGGTGCACGGACTTTATTTTGCACTCCCAAAATTTGTGCATGGGAGAGGGGTCTCTCAGCCTGGCCTGCACCCTCTAGCAATCCAGGACCCCTCAGGGATGTGCGACTGCCATTTAGGCCCAATCCCTATGGGCAGTTGGACATCCCTCTCAAAATCTGGGACCGCTGGCTCCTAGTTGCTTGCCTGCCCACCTGCCTGATCACCCCTAACCACTTTGCCTGCCTGCCTGATTGCCCCTTACTGCTCATCTGCCTGCCTGCCTGATTGCTCCAGCTGCTCACCTGCCTGCCTGATTGCCCCTAACTGCCTCTGCCTGCCTGCCTGACCTCCCCTAACCTCTCTGCCTACCAGCCTAATTGTCCCTAACCACCTGTGCCTTGGCCCCCGCCACCGTGGCTTCATCGAAAGGATGTCCGGAATGACATTCGGAAGGTTGTTCAGCTGTCCAGTCTAATTAGCATATTATGCTTTTATTATTATAGACTAGAGGCCTGGTGCATACAATTTGAGCACAGGGAAGGGTGTCCCTCAGCCCGGCCTGCACCCTCTCCAATCCGGGACCACTTGAGGGATGTCTGACTGCCAGTTTAGGCCCGATTCCTGCGGGCCTAAACTGGCAGTCAGACATCCCCCGACCACTTGGGGGATGTCTGACTGCCAGTTTAGGCCCGATTCCTGCGGGCCTAAACCAGCAGTCAGACATCCCCCTTGCAATCTGAAACTGCTGGCTCCTAACTGCTCGCCTGCCTGCCTGCCTGATCGCCCCTAACTGCCTCTGCTTGCCAGCCTGGTTGCCCCCTAACTATTCCCCTGCCAGCCTGGCTGCCCCTTAACTGCTCCCCTGCCAACCTCATCACCCCCTAACTGCCTCTACCTTGGCCCCTGGCACCGTGGCTTTGTCCGGAAGGATGTCCAGAAGATGCCCGGTCTAATTAGCATATTACCCTTTTATTAGTGTAGATAATATTTTCTTAGGGTGTTCCCCATGCATTTAAATATAAGTACAATTAAATTCAATTACTAAAAATAATACATACCATTTAAAAATAAAAATAAATGCAATTAAATAACAGTGAATAGAACTATAGAAGTGCAAATTATAATATTGATATGTATGCTGTTTGTCTATAGGTATTACTGGATTCAATATTTCTTACTTGCCCTACACAGGTTTCTCCTCCATTCTTCCCACCCTCCTTCCATTCCTTCCCTCCACAGATACATATTGTATACCTACTATGTGCCAGCAATTGTATTAGATGTTTGGGATATGATAGTGAACAGGAGAGAAAAGGCCCCTGACCTCACAGAGTTTACATTCAAGTAGGAGAGACTGGAAATTAACAAGCAAACATAAAACAAACCAAAAAACAAAACAAAACAAACATAATTTCAACAATGCTGCGTCCTGTAAATAAACAAAACAAGATAATGTCACACAGCATAAATGGGATACAGGGGAGGGCAGTTAGTGATATTGGATGGAAGAAAGCACAGCTGTTTTAGATTGGTCTAAGCAGACTTCCTGGAACAGATAAAGTTGAGACATAAATAGCAAGGAGAAAACTCCCGTGCAGATACGGGAGATGAGTGCAGCCCTGCTCTGGCCTTAAGTTGAAGTGCTTAGTCTTAGGACAGGTAACAAGGGCCTGCGGGACTAGAGTTCAGTGGGAAGTGAGTGGTGGGACAGGCAAATGGGGCTCTGGTGTAAGGCTTTGCAGGTCCGAGGGAAGAATTGGGATTTTATTTCAACTGTGTTCAAAGTCCCTGGGATATGTTAAGCAGGGGATGAGCTAATCCAAGTCATCTCTGGTTAAACGCCTGAAACCAGTTAGGAAAATATTACAAAAAGTGCAGGACTACTTCTGAACCTTTAACTTCAGCCACTGGATGGATGGTGGGCCATTTACTGAGATGGAGGTGAGTGAGGATGGGTCTGGGGGAAACTGAGAAGTTACCTTCTGAATCTGAAATATTTTAGAGACTTAATAGGCTTCCCCCTGGAGATATCGAGGAGGCAGTAAATGTCTGGATAGGACATTATTTTTCTGTACAAAACATTTGCTTAACTTAAAGCAAAGCTTCTGAAGCCGATGGTTATTTGTTTAAGTTCCTTGGGGGATTTAAAAGGGACCACTCTCTAGTCCAGAAGCTAGACAGAATCATAAGGAAAGTTTGGTTAATGAAAAAAAAATACTTCTTTTTAACCTAAAACAATAAAGTAAGAATTTTTTAGGGAATTAGTGCCCATTTATTTCTCTTAAATATTGTTTATTTTCTAAACTATAATGAATCAACACTATTCAAATTACACAATATCTCTGGACTATTGTAAAGGAGATTAAATAGAACTTTCTTATTTCTTAGTACATCTTAAACAAGATCTTAAATAAGTCATAAAATCAAGACTAATAAGCCATTCTCAGATGGCTATACAAGTTATTAATCATTTTATTAACCATATAAAAATAGTAACTGTCAAAGTATAGAACAGAACACAATCTGAACTATAAAAAAGAATATATGTGTCTCACCTATTTTTGTTTTTTTTCTTTGCAGATTGTGTATTTTAGTTCTCTGTCTCCATATGTGATACTTATATGTTTCCTAGTCAGATCACTCTTCCTAGAAGGTTCAATTTATGGCATCCGCCACATGTTTACCCCTCAGGTATGTACTTTGTTTCTATTTAAGGCTTATGATCTTGAAATCATTATATTTGTTGTTAAAATTTTCCCACAGTTTGATTCCAGAGATAATTGTCCTAACATATATACATCAGGCATTCAAAGTATAGCTGTTATGTTATCTAGCCTAGATAAACCAGAGCTTTTATATGTCTTTAATTATCTCCATCTAGCTCTAATTTTAAATGTCCCATTTTAGTTCTAGATTAAGGCTGTCACTATTGAAACTTTAACAATTTCTCTGTTATATTAAATTGACTTCCAATTTTTATACTTGTAAATTTTAGAACTTTTCAGTCTTTATTTTTCTCCTTCTATTTCAGTGGGTTCTTAACATTTTGTGGCATGGATCCCTTTTAAAAAGACAATAATAGGAACTTCTTACCAGAAAACATATTCATTTTCTTATTGTGTCAGGAGGTGGACAAAACATATAAAATCCATGGACCCAGGTTAAATCCCTTCTCAGAGAAAATCAATCTTGTTTTGTTTTGAAATTTTGTACTTTCTAAAATAATATTTACTTGGTGCGTTTGAGAAGTTCTGTAACTTTTGTAAATAAATGTACATTTTAGGAAAATTCTCATTTGATTTCATAAAAGGCTCAGAACTTCAGTATGCTCTGTCATTCAGTTTAGTGCTGAACTCAATGCTGGGCACATTGAACACGCACAGCAATCTTTGTGGACCAGGTATTTTGATTTGACAGAAAAGAAAACCAAGTTTTGAGATGTATATTTTATTTGGTTAGTCATGAAATGAACTTATACCTCACTATTACTTTGCTAATACTATTTAAGGCAGACAATTTCAAATTTAGGTCAGCAATTGGAAGTTACTTGAAGAATGATCATGGTGTGAGACTTGGGCAGAAGACACTAGCTTCCCAAGAATTATTTGTCACTGCTGGTAGCTGCTATGATACTGTGTACAAGGGGCTGTGTTTTTTAGGTATCTGGTTCTAACTTGGTATTCATTCTCTAGTAGCAAAAATATTGACATTGGTGTCTGGTGTTCTTGAGTGGTTCATAAGTCCCGTTTAACAGTTATCATTGTTGGGATAATTCACTGAGTAACTATAGTTAAGATTCATCAGTTTTAGCTACATTATAATGCAAATCACCTTCAAATGGGACATAACTTAGTGACCAACATTATTTATAATATTAAAAAAGAAAAGTGTTTTAAGTTTAAAACAACTAACTAGCTTTGGTATGACTTTCTGGCATATCACCTTTTTCTAAGTTGGCAATTGTTTGAGACATAATTCTCAATATTTGATTTAAATAGATATTTTGGAATTTAAACCCTTTGTTATGGCACTTTTTGCATGGCCCCTATATTCAAATCTGCAGCATTATTAACATTCTAAACCAGGTCTACAGATCATTTAAAATATAGTTAATTCTTTGTTACGCTCACTTTTCATTGACTGTAGATAAGATTCTGTGTTAGTTCACTACACGGTGTGATAGTTGATATAATAACAATAAGAAGGTGTTAATTACTTTTAATTTACATTGCTTATATAAGGGAAAAGTACCTAAACACATGAAATATTCCCTAAACTGTGAATGGAGATTTAGTTCCTGAATTAGAAGTATAGCAATCTGAATAATGTCCTTAGTAAATAAGTGCTTTCTGCCACCTAGTGGGTGAAGTGGAGATAGGCAGTTGATTGTAGTAGTAGTAGATCAACACAGAATTAGTTAAGATAACAATGGTCAATAAACAATATGCCTATCTCAGTTAATTATACATACATTGTAAGTATAATAACTATTATGTTATGAAAAAGTCATACATTTCAATAATAATAACTGAATGAATTGAGCAATAAATTCTAATATTTGAGAGAACCATGGATTTTGTCATCTCTGAGTGTGTTCACATTTCTGTTCTACCCCAGAACTGCTGTGCAACCTTAGGCAGGTTCCTTAACCTTTCAAAGATGTAGATAATAGCAGCAACAATTTCATGGATTATTGCAAAGATTAAATCAGTGCCTGCCACTGTAGTCTATATATGTTAGCAGTTTTTGAGCAGTGAGAGTGTGGTAGGCAATGTGGCAAGTTGTGTCTTATTACTCCCATGATTCAGCTGGGGAAGCAGAAACAGAAAGGACTGGCCACTTACCCTAGGGGACACTATTTAGACTAT